GAAAGAGCACGGCGCGTCCCGTCAGCCTGCTGCCTTGTTACCGGACTGCCCGGGGCTCAGTGTATTCTCCGAGTCCCAAGACCTGCAGGTAGACACTGGCACGTCCCAATGCCTGTGGCCAGGCCTGACTAACCCAAGGCTGAACAACACCCAGCATCGCACAAGAGCCCTCCTCATGTCCCAGGCTGGCCAGCTCTATGGCTTCTGCCCCGGAGACAGGAGCCCCGTGTTCAGGCAGCTCAGCCTTCCTCCCCTTTTCCTTTCCTCCCCCTGGACATAACTAAAGCCCAAGCCTGCCCGGCTCCTGTCAGCTGGCTACGGTGGCGGATCTGCTTGGAGCAACCGATGGCATGCCAAGCAGAGCAGGGCTCCGCTCACCCGGCCAGCGAGCTGTCTGCCCTGCCGGGCTTCATCTGGTGAGAGGAGGGTCTGCCTCCCCACCGCCCAGTTCGGCTCCCCGCCACCACCCTTCCTCCCGCTGTCCAGCCACATCTGCAGGGACGCTACTGTAAACAGAGGCTAAACCCTCACCCCACCACCCCCATCTCTGGAGAAGAGGTAAACAAAGACCTCTAACAAGAATGCAAGAAACACCCCTCCGGCAAAAGCCTCCTCCTTTCAGCACTTTAAATGCTGCCCCTGCTCTCCCTGTCCAACACAGAGGGGTCCCCTCCCAGCCAGGAGCCCCACCGAGCTGCAGGGCAGCCCCATGCAACTCGGGCTGGAGGTAATGAGGTTTCCCCTCAGCTCCAAATGCTCCCAGGTAAATCAAAAAGAGTCCAGAGGGCCGCTGCCGCCCCATGACATGGCTGGAAAAGGGGCTGCGGCCGTGTCTCCCCACTCACTTCTGCAGTCCTGCTGCAGGGCACTCCCGTAGTAGCCCTGTTTGCAGAGGTGGCAGTTTTCCCCCTCCGTGTGATACAGGCACTTCTCACACGTCCCAGTCTTCTTGTCGCAGGCCTCCGGGTCAGTGGTGTCGATGTTGCACGGCCGCGCGTGGCGGGCCCCGCCAATCTCGTCGGGCCCCCCAAAGAAGCCAGACGCACATTCATCACATCGACCGCCTGTTTGAACAAACAGGCACGGTGGGAATCACGAGCACGGCTCGCTAGCGTGCAGTCCCATAAACGGCAAGACTATAAAGGCTATTAATGGGGAGGCTGTTAATTGGATCATGCTCAAAGCAACAGAGGCAGCGCTTGGTGAGACCACGGCAGCTTGGGGCAGCGTGGGTGGTACTGCCTGGGGCACCAAGGCACGGTGCTGCAGCCCAGCTGCTCATCCCCTTGGTTCCACTTCTCTCCGGTCCACCTCTGCCCACCACCAGTCATCCCTTGCCAAAGTGCTGGGGCTGAGGTTCACGGTGGTGCCAGCATCGCCTGCGCAAGCCCCTCTGCCCCGGCACCTTCCAAGTGCTGCCAACCTCCAGCAGCAACACATTGATGTAGGTGCTGTGGTCATATGAACATACCCCTTCTCACCAGCAGGCTCAACCCAACCACCCCCAGCTCCACGCACCCGCCAAGTACCTATGTATCCCACGCTACAGACACACACGACTTGCAGCGTGACCGGATCCTGGTAACAGCCGCTGGCAAACTGGCGTCCACTCTCGGGGCCATCAGGGCAAGGGCAGGGGCGGCAGTGGTCGCCTGATCCCAGGACGGGGTCTCCGTAGTAGCCAGCCTGGCACCTGCGCAATGGGGTACACGGCATGCAAAGGACCACAGGCAGACAGACTGCAGCCTTGCTGTAACCACGCTCAGGTTTTCAACCGCTGTGAAGAACCAAAGGGTAGAAACATCCTTCTGGCTCTCCCGTGCTGCTCGTGCTCCAAGCAGCTGTGCCCACAGAGGTAAATCTGTCTGGCTTACGCCAGCATAAGAGCAGGAGACCCAAAGCAGATGCTTCTCAGGAGGCTCGCAATGGAGAAAGCCTCTCTGAAGCCCCAGGGTCCAGCAATGTGCTCTTGGCCACTTGGGCAGGCGCTGCTGGGAGGCGCAAGGCTGCGGGCAGGGAAAAGGGGGTCCCCGCTCCCATCCTCCTCCAGGACCAACCAGTGCTGCTCCAGCTCCCAGAGGCTTTCCCTGTGGCTTCACACACACCTATGTGACATTGCCGGAGGGGAGCAGCTGCTGTTCCCCTGCTGCTGTGGGGAAGGAGAAGGACCGGGGCCAGGGTGCGCGCCGTACCTCTCGCAGTTGTGCCCCGCTGTGTGGTCCCGGCAGCTCAGGCACTCGCCGGTGTAGGGGCTGCAGTCGTCGGCGTGGC